ATATATATATATAGGGAAACAAAGAATGATAGAGAAGGGATGGGGAGTATGCGTAATTTGCTCTAAGTAACATACCTTATTTCAATTCTTTAAATGTTAGTAGTTCTACTTATATTATCGTTGGGCAGAAGACGACTGCTTATCTTTCCTCTTTTAGCCCAAGCCTTTGCCCTTTATTCTTAATTTCTTTTCGAAATAGTAAAATATAAATCAGTTCACTCAGTATTCAAAAATTCTCAGGGAGTCAAATTTCTTTGACGATATGCGTCTAAAAACATGGCGAGCGTATGAATGGGCCAATATTGGTGGCGTTGTATATACGCTACTATTAATTTTTGGTATTTACTTCCTAATATTGTTCTATACATGCCCAGCAACTTATCAACCTGACTATTGTACCCGGGCAAATTGTTTCGCTATCGTTATCATTTTGGAATTGCTCGTCAATTTTCTTCTGTTCGTCATCTATAGCAGGTATTTATTAATTAATATCAAGTATTGATGAAATCGAACTTAAGCATCGATATCGATAGCGCGTATTATAAAATTGTGTGGCTGTCATTCATAGGTAAGAATTCTGATATGCTAGTTGTCTGGTACAAGAACTGTTCATGCATCGAAATGAAACTAATGATGATGATCATTAAGCTAGTTCCACAAAATTATTTTATAAATTAAATACAATTTAAAATAAATCAATCTTTTTTAGTTCATCAATGATTTTTTTAGTTTTATTAATTGTGGTGAGTAGATTTTACAAATGTAAAATCTTTTTTTAGGCGTAACGATCCACAACGTTGGCTCCAAGGTGTTGCAGTTTTAACAAATGTGAAAGGTGCCGGTAAATATTGTTTAGAATGTAATCGAATAGCACCGTTGAGGAGTCATCATTGCAGACTATGTAATATGTGCGTTCTGAGGAAAGATCATCATTGCTTCATGACGGGTGCCTGTGTTGGAATTGCTAATCAGGTTAGCTAACGGAGAGGAAATTTTGGGGACACTTAAGGATGAAAGACGCTGAAGATTAAAAAGTATAGAACAATGCTGTTTATTTTGTTTATCACATAAGTAAGCTTACTTTAGCTCTTGTTGCATGTAACCTATGGAAAGTGCTTTAGAGCCAAGATAATGTGTGCAATTACCTAAGTATAAATGCATTAATTAAATAAGTTGATAAAGCTCATATAAAGTGACGCATGAAAAAAGTTACCCACTACAATCATAGATTAAATTTTATTATCGGTTATCATTGTTATCATTATCATTATCAGCACTATTACAAATGCTCATTTCACTTCCTACTAAGTTTATCTTTCCCATTTTAACTTGACCATTGTGTTTCCAATTTTTCCACTAAAATATATTTCAGCGTTTTTTCATCGTATTTGTTCTATGGGCAAGTATTGGTGCTGCTGTAGGGTCGTTTTACCTTCTGATGTATTTGCTGCGACATGTGGAATCTAATATTTACCCATTTGGTTGGTTGAAGCTCCTAGCACCGGTTGCTGTCATTCGATGGATTATTTCCGATGAAATATTCGCCAACACAGTTATTTGCGTTCTATTCAGCATATGCACAGCCACCTCCATTGTTGCCCTTATTTTTTTGGTTTACAGGTGAAAATTCTGCTTTTCAACTCCAATGTTTTTACGCTTAAGTTTTCCTTTCATTCTTCTGCTCATTTTTCATATACATAGTATGTTGCAAAATGAATCTAGGATTTTTTGAATTCTATCGTATCATTATCGTCATGATCGTTATTATCTAAACTGATTCAGATGAACTTCTAAAATTTTATTTATAGAGAATCTTCTTCAATAAGTTTGCATGATTTTAGATGTTTTATACATTAAATGGTTATACGATGTATGATTATCACACATTAAGCAGAAGGATTGAATTACATGGTGATGGTGAAACCTATTCAGAAAGGTATAAAGTTAACAGAAATAGTTTTCTTTATTGTTTCCTCTTCTATTTAGTACCTGTTTAATCTGTTTATCACTTCATTATCCCGGAACTGGATAGTACTCGACCAACATTCAGCAAGTCTATTATCGATTTGCTTGAAGCTTCTCATAGTTTTGACTATTCTATTTCAAAGGCGTAAAATCGACAACCTTTACGTTGGTTTCTACCCATTATGTTGAACCATTTCTTAAAATACTCCATACAACTATTAATGAATTTTGCCTGATGAATGTACAAATTGAACGTTTACATATCTCCGTGTTCTTTATTACTTTATTACTCGTCTCATCAAATTCCATCTATCATGAAAGAAACGGCGGAAAACGAAAAAAAAAAAATGGGATGGATTGATCGTTGAAAACGTGCACATGTTTTGCATAGTTTATTGGAAGCTGTAATCCATTATTAGTAGTGGTTACAACCTGAGATGGACAGATGAACCATTGCATGATATTGCTTGAAGCATTGCACTCCGAAGATCGTACTATCATTGTAATGATTTTTTCCCTTATTATCTACCGTTCCTTCAATTAATGTACACACTGTAATTAACCTTTGAACCTCGACATAGAATTCACACAGTACTACAAGATCGTCTAGATAAATATGGAGCAATATCGAATACTTCCCTTACTCGTTTATTTTAGAAATGTTTTAATATTCAAATGACTCCAGGATAATTTTCGGTATAACGTCTTTAGAAAAAAAAAAAAAGAAAAAATCAGTTTTGCAATCATGAAAAAAGACAACGATTGAAGTTTGGTGTCAGAATTTAAATCCTACAACAAAGATTTGAACGAGTTTCCAATGTTTTTCAATTTGGAGAGGAAAAACGAAAGAATTGTAAATGTTGCTATAAATATCTGCTTTTCCAGATTAAGGATGGTATTTGGTCATTATTGGGCAGTAAATTTTATTGTTCCATTGCTTTGTTTTCCGAATCAACTGACCGCAGATGTTGCTCGAAATTTATTTTCGTCGTATTCGAAAGATATGTAGTAATTTTCCAATTTATATCTACAATATGCATTCATAAATGTCTCCTTCACTGATGGCCATCGGTTTTTTAGTGTTAGCTTTTCAATCTAATTAGTATTGTTGTAATTTGATGCCATAGGATTGAAGACAATTCGTCCAATTCATCTTGCAATTCGGTTTGTAGCTTATTTACTGCATCCTTTATCATTTTCACCTGCAATTTCTAATCAGTTTTTCTTTTTCTGATTTGCTTCGGAAATTATTAACGTGCTGAAGCTGTAAACAAATAAGATATTTCCGTAACTCTTTGGAAATTTCCGAAAATGTAGATTTGATCCCTCCTTAATAGTTTAGAGAAATGTTTTGAAAATGTTAATCAAAATACGCAATACTTTCGCTCAGAACAAGCAGAAGAGTTCATTTTGATGGGACCCCCTATCTTGCTTTCCAAATAAAAAGAGGGCCAACTGTAGTCGGACTTCGAAGTAAAAAAATCTGAAGAACACTCATCTCAGATTCGGTTTCATCATGAAATATAAGACTAACTACAAGTGCAATCAATAACTGCAACAATTAATCCATGGCATACAAATTTATTTGATGATGACAAAATTCAGACAGTCTATTTGTCTATTTCTTAGCAATGCCTTATACTATTTTTGCAGTCTGTCGGATTGATTTATGTGACATTTGTCAGTTTGTCATTATATTTACACTCTTGCAAATCAGTGTTATCAGTTTGCAGTGACAGTATCAACTCTTCATTATGTTTACAGCTTATTTCACAATCAGTTGAATCGATGCATTATAAATTAACTAATTCATTACAATGTATGGGACTTGTTTACACAATAATCAATTTCTCAGGCTATTTAAATCTTTCAAAGGAACGGTAATTTACCGTATTGGTGATAATGTTAACATTTATAAAAGAAAAAGTAACTAGTGGGAATGAGACAAAATTTTAAACAGTAACACTCTTCCCTTTAAAAGTTCATGTGGGCTCTTTCTTTTAGCAAGCAAAATAAAGATTTTTCTCAAGTACGGTCTTAGTTGGACCACTCGTTCATTACCCGAAAAATAACTTTTTGCAGTATTTGAAATACTTCTCACAATTAATTGTATCAAAGAAGCAAATTGTGTTAAACGTATGCTATGATCTTTTACGAATTATTAAAATAAAAATTGCTATATCACAATCTTCGCATACATTGCATGAGGGAAAGTTCTATAGCGATTTGAGATACTTCGCTAAAGTTTCCACGTCGTGTTTCCCATCGGTACGCAAATATTTCTAAGAAATATTGATAAAGTAGAAGCATGTAAATGATAGTGTACTGTGGTTATTCGAGCAGTATTTTATAAAAAAGTAATCTAAAATGCTATTGAGTCTCGCTTTCAGTTCTTAAAATATGAAAAGAAAATTTAAAATATTTTAATAGATCATGAACAATTAATACAGTCAATATTAATAATTAACCAATTAATTGATTTAAGTTGGGGGATTTTTCATTTTCTAGTCCAAAATGTCAGGTAGGATATCGTATTTAATGAAGAATCTATCTACATAAGAATGAGATATCGATCAAGTCAGAGAGGAGCTTTTTAAAATGATGATAACTTTTCTTAATAATCCATTTATAAAAATTGTCTTCTGCCCTTCATGTTGAACCAGTGACAGTCTTCTCAAGACAGTCCATGCGACTATTAATAAATTTTGTCTGATAAATGTATAAATTGTACGTTTACGTACCTCCGTATCCCAAAGGAGACCAACAATTACTTCATTTCTGTTTTCATCAAGTTCCACATGTGACGCAAGAGGTGGTGAAAAACGAAAAAATGGGATGGACTGATCATGAGCCCAAGAACGTGCACGTGTCACGCATGGTCCATTGGAAACTGTAACCTGTAACATAAACTCAGAGGTAATTATATCGAGAGATGGACAAATGAACCCATTGGATGATACTGTTTAGAGCATTGCACTCCGAAAATTGTAACATCATTATAATGAGCTCTTCTCTTGTTATCTACCATTTCTTCGTTTAATGTTCACTACATCCTGCGATTGACCTCTGAATCTCGACATAGCAATCCACACAGTACTACAAGATCATCTAGGTGAAATATGGCAAGTGTGAACAGCGTCAAGTACTCTCCGTAGTCCATTATTTTTGGAACGTTCTGACATCGAAGGGTGCCAGAACCGTGGGTTGATTGTATAATTGGAGTTTCGGGCAGGGCAATAGTTGTGCTCGGACATCCAACAAATAATTTCAGATTTGACAGTGTTTGTATTTGCGTATGTTTGCACTCGTTTGAAACTCTGAGAACTTATAAACATTCTCAGGTAAGCTTTGAAAGTCCTGAACTTTGGCAAGGTAACTGAAGTTCAATATTAGGGAATGAGGGTAGAGATGTCAGTACGGTAATTTCTTTTTTTTATTCATCAACTCTATCAGAGTACAAGCAAATCAGCTCAGCAAATTAGTCCCAAACAATATCGTTCGCCACTGTTATATATGTTGTAAGTAAGACTACAGAGAATAAAAGTATGAAAATATTCCACATATTTAGACAATTCCTCATATCCCCATAACCTTTATTCTCTCAAAACGATAGTACTGCAATTGGGTTTACAATTTGAATGAAGTAATCAGACTTACTCAAAAATACCCGGGTAAATAAATAGCTTATCCTACAAGAAGTAATTTATGTCGTACGAACTCGTGTGGAAAGAAGAAACCAAAGAGGAGATGAAAGAAGTTCAACCCATAAGGAGATAACTAAAAATTATTTGTGCTATAAGAATGCTGCACAAGAATTCACTTAAACTTGGTGAAATTCTGCCAAGTTGGTAAAACTGATTCCATAAATAAACGCAAATAAACCAACCTGTTCTACAAGAAGATTTTTTAAACTTATCAAATCCTCAAACATAGATACGCCTTCGGCAAAACCTCCAGGCAAACCAAAATTCCATCTCATGCTTCCTAACTCTTCAGGCGGCGCTTGACCAGTTCCCAATGACACAATGCAGCCAATGTGTACAGTCTCTTTTTCCTGAAAACTTTAATATTTTCATCTCAGGTATGGAGCAAACTCGCTTTAAATGAGTACACCAGTAACAGGATTGCATATAATTTCATCCAGATATCAGTTGAATAGGTTACTTACTCAATTAATGCTTTCGGACTTCTTCGTTAAGTGACTGGTAATAAAATGACGATATTTAGCATCCAAACTTCAGATAATTATCCGATATTAAGGTCTATAGTTTTCCTCTCACGACACTCTTTGCTTCAGTTTACAATTAATTAAGTAATGAAATGGCCTTTTAATAAATGCCATGTCTTTTTTTTGCAATAAATAAGAAATTCAACGAATAACTTGCCGCTTTCATACATGCAGCATTATAAGTATGTATGTCTGACATAAGATCAAGCGTTGGATTATTTGATATTAATCCACCATCAACAAAATTATCTTTCGGTGTGAAGAACATTGGAGCAGCGCTACAAAATATACTCAGTAGTCAGCTATTATTAACACTTATTCCTTCCTTCTCCAATCCGTTAACTGCAGTTGACACTTGATAACAAACGTATAATCAAAAAAATGTCATATTGTGTATATAAAGTGAGAGTATATATTAAACTGTTGATATTTACTATAATCTAAACTATGATGCTATGTTGATATTAGTGTCACTGCAATCCATATAAATTTATGCATCAGGAATCCTTCCTTCTCCACGCCTTCTACTAAAAGTTCGAGATGATATCAAGTACATATCTAGACCGGCTAGTGTTTGGATTTATTAACCGAAATTTGTTGCAGCAATTTCTACCACTTCGAATAAATAACTATATTATAGTCAACAACAGCACTGATAATCAAACGACTCAGATGTTCGAACAACATAAATCCTCTAACAGAGAGAAGTTTTTGGTCCATATAAAACTTTGCCTATTAGTGCCAAATATATCATGGCTCATATTTCATTTCCTTCATTTCCAAAAGATCTAATTTTTATCCTACGACAAAAAAGTCAAGGCATTATATATATTCATTTATTTACAACATATAAATACTACGAAATGTTTTTTTGACACACTTACTTTCAAATATATTGAAGTGATTAAGGAACATATAGCTTACCTAGAGTACCGCGCACATTTCCATATTAAGTTCTCACAGGGATCATCAAATCCCAAGGCCTCGTTTTCAGCTTTACTAACTGGTAAAGTGTAGTTGCGAAAGAGTTTCAGCTGTGGTGGATTTCTTCGTACACATGAAGCCGTCACAATAACTCTGAAAACAGCAACAGGAAGATAGATATTCAAGCGTTGTCAATAACCAAATATTTATCTCAAGTAAAAATATTTCATTGGATGTATTTAATATATGCAGCTATAAGAAAATACAGTTATAATTATTTTGCATTTGAAATACGAATAACATTGCAATCTAGAATGCTGCATTCAAGATATTAAACAAATGACAACAAAAGTATTATTTGGACGACAATCCTGTACCACGAACGTTTTCGCATGACCCATCTTAAAAATATTTCATTATTAGAGATTTTCCTAAATTGGCAAAACATGAGCCAGTCTTCCTAATTTGTTTGTTTGCCTAATCACCCAGCCAAATTATCATTTCTAATCATGACCAGAATTTAATGATTTGTAGAATAGACCGATTCGCGATTCTAAGAAGATATCAAACGAATAAATCATATGAATAAATCAATAGTAAAAATTCTGTTACAAATGGTCACCATGTAATAGAAAAGAAAGATACGACAAAAATTAGGACTTCAGAAAAAAGATTTCCTAAAAAGTGAAACATGAATATACTTTTTAGATGTTAATTGTGCCATCGTTGTCTTTTCGCCAAAATTTTCGCAGAGAATACCTTCGATCACTTTTTCTGAATATGGTCGTCGACCACCAAATAGTTCATCCTTCATGCGTAGATAAAGACTTTGACAGTGCTTTAACGAATACCCTTTAAGAAAATTTTTTTTAGCGAGATCATTCTAAGCTTATCTGGAATTTGTGTATTTATATAAACTGTGAAAAAAAATAACAGAAATTATGGACATGAAAATGACAGACCTTTCGTTAGCCCCAATGCAATCACTGCTCCTGTACTAGTTCCGCATAACCATTGAAAGTGCTTCATGACAGAATGACCCAACAATTTCTCAATATGCATCAATATCTGAAACAGAATAATTTGACTGATGTAAGATGCGACTGCACAAGTTGAATAACCGAGGAGTGGAAGGGAAGAAGAGTTGGTTAACATGATTAAAAGTTTTCTCGATGACCGATATATTTATTTGCTATTCTTAACCATGCGACTATTCAATATGTTGCGCTTAAACTAATACAATCTCAGTATAATATACTTATATTTATGTCTTTCTCAATATATATCTCCAATTTGAATATAAAAAATGTATATGGGGAAAAGAAAAACTTTTTCCGATATTTTGGAGTGGAGAACACATGCGTCATGTGAAATGGAGCATAAAATATCTAATACCTGACACTTTTTGCATTAATTAGTGGTCCGAATGTTAAGAGAAAACAAACCAGTATAGCATAAAATCAATAAAAAGAACTACTTCGAGAGATACCTGCAAAAGTACTAAGCCTCTTATTCCACCACCATCGAAGCTTATTACATTGACCAACCGTTGCCTTTGTTCTGGTGTCATTCGATCCCGCTCCTCTATTGCTCTTTCTTGCATAAGATCAGATAAAACTGAAATTCATTTTAATAAAACAATCATTACAAACAAAAAGACAAAACGGTCAAAGATTAAAGGATATTTGCAAACGTCTGAACTTTTAACATCTAGATAGGAAATCAAAATTTTTCGTGGATTATTCGAAATTTTGAAAAAAAATCAATTAAGCTAATTGTTTTATAAAGTCTGCTCCTCAATAAAACGTACCGTTACCTAAAACTGGTCGAATGGTTGATGGTGGATAAGCAAAGAGCTTCAAACACTCCATAATTTCTGTGCTGAATTTGTATTACATTTTTCAGCATAGATGTGATATAATCAACGAAGTACTTACATTTCTTGAATAAAACTCTCGAAGGGATTCCATTGGAAAAAATAATTGGGATACCTTACTCGTATAAAAAGGGTTGGACTAAGAGTATAACTAAAAGTCAAGTAGTTGAAGAAGATTCCATAAACATCAACAATCAGAGCTAAAATAACAGTTATTTTGCTCATTTCATTTTTCAAAAAAAGTTCCCAGACATGAACAGATAAATCTCTAATAAATATCCGTACAAAACTTACTTGCTCCTTCCAACAACCAGAGCTGTTTCCCCGCGACTGTTCTTTAATTGTACTGATGCTCCAAAACATAGTAATAGTTTCACAAGAGTAACATTCCCATCCTAAAGAAAACTGTGTTCAAAAACCAATATGAAGCATTCATAATTTTAGCTCCTGATCTATTCTCAAAATACTTCCTCGTTCTTTCGAATATTGACAGCAATATACAGCATAGCTTCAAAATCATACCAAATAATGTTCCAGAAATTTCAAACAATTCAAAAAGATACCATAAAGCATGTGATGCAAAGAAATAATATCTGTCCGACAAACAATCAGTAATTTCGAAATTATCACTCACCGATGAAAAAATCTCGAATAATTCGTTGATGTCTATCTTAGAAAAACACAATTTTGGACTTTATCCGACCCTAGCTCATTGAAATCAAAACATGCCTTAGAAGATACATGCAACGGGGTATTCCCGTCATAATCTGCAATATTTACATCAGCATTGTGCGTCAGGAATGTAAAACTTTGTGACAAATCATTTCGGGCTATAGCACAATACAGCGGCGTTTGACCCAAATTATTTCGAACATTTATATTGATGACATCGCCAAGATCTCCCAGAATATGGTACAACAACTGGAATGTTTTTTCTTTCGAGAGATAAATAATTGAGCCAAATCTTTCTTATCCCACCACGAATGCATCATATCTCTCATTTTCTCATTTACTGTCATGGAATTCTTTGATCAGAATTTGAATTAGTATAATAAAAAATTTTAATACTTCAATCTAAAACACAGAAACTGGATGCAAATACTTTCGCTCCATTAAGTCAACATATTGAAAAAATGTGTCATATTGAACCATCTGATAGAAATAATTCTGATTACCATGTTTTTGTGAAGCACCATAATCAGTTGTAAATACACACAAGATTAAACTTACTTTTACTTCCAGTTTTTCATGAAGAATAGTTGATGAACCATCGATCTCTTCGACTAAGAACTGTGGAGCTCGTATTAATAATAAATCGACTATCCTTGAAAGAGATTATTAATTTTTTCGAATTATTGCACAACTAAAATTCAAACACATTAATAACCACATTCAGTTTTAGAAAATAGCTGTAAAAATGTACTGTAAATCTAAGAAAAAGGGATGAAAAGAAAAAAGAGGGCATTTACATGCAAAAAAAAAACCAATGAATACTTCGGTAAATCGGGTGACGAAACAGCTACAGCAACCATAACAGCCAAAGAACCGCCCGGGAACGGACCGGTTGAACAATCTGCATCCAACAAAAATTCTACGCACTTGGCTTTGGCTGAACGAATAGCAAGACAAAGTGGTGATAAGCCATCTTTATCAATTACATCAACAGCATCCCAAAAATCCTCAGCTCCAGCTAATAACTGAATGTAATAAAAAGTAATATTACTAGTGTATGGTAAGAGAACAAAAATGAATGCAACAGGTTATGCATACGAAGAAACCAACTAATACACCTTCAGTATTTCTATATTATTTTCGGCACCATAATGCACGGCATTCCTGAAATGACAATCCTGTTCTGTAGTGTGGGCACCTAAGTTCAGGAGTACTTGAACAGCCTCTTTAGCATCATTCTTCACTGCTATGTGCAATGGATAGTAACCATCAAGGGATACTTCATTAACCATGCTGCAAGGAAGTAGTTTATCTTATGGGATCTAAGCAAAATGCGTTTTTTATTAATTCTAAAAATGTAAATCATCATTAGAGAGAGATAAAGGAAAAAAGGCAATTATGCAATAATGATTTTTTGTTGAAATAGGACTTTCTAGAAGTTAGCTATTGATGTTAACTAAATATTTTTGGATTACAGTGTCTTTGATATTATAATCATCTTGGGAAAGTAAAAATTCTGAATTTCTAAAAGAATTTTTCAGGATATTTTTAGCTGTGACATCATTTTAAGCCTCAGTTTTGGATCAATTCAACAAAGTTATTGTTGCAAGCGAACTTTTGAAAAAAAAAAAAGAAACTCTTATTTTTGAATAACTCCTACACAAATAAACATTGGTGCTTCCGAAAATTTTTCATATATACATTGTTGAATCACACTTTACAGACCTTGGACGATTCTTACACAACGCGACGATAACTTTCGGAAAGTTACAAGCAGCAGCATGATGTATATCATTAAATTTGGGATTTTTGATCACCGAATCTCTCAATTGTTCCAGTTCAGCCTCGAATAATTTCGAACTTATTTTCTCTGAAAAAGAGTCGGTAGTTACTGTGTATGAAAAGTTATATTGTAGGAGAAAGAAAATTAAAAGCCAGTTAAACTTTTCCTTGATGCCCAATATACCATCATGTTCCGATAGACATTTTCGCCACTAACAAAAAACATGCTATGCTGACAATCGAAAACTTGATATAGATGAGAAAGACACAAAATAATAATCACCTAATACCATGCAATTGATAAGATGACGTATACGCGGAAAATAACAGAAAAATATTTTATGATTTTACTCGACAGGCTTCCAAACTTTCAGAAATATTACCCAAAATGTTAACAAGTAGTTTCAGACTATTCAATTGATCCCTTAGCGATTCTGCTTCATCATGCTCCCGTGTACGCCAAATCTTCAAAGTTCTCGGCAAATATACAACATAATATGTCCCATCTCTTGGTTTATCCACATACAATGCAAACGTGTAAAAATCATCACATTTCTTGAAGGTCCTCAACTTCGAAGCATTTATGGCTTCCACCTAAATAGAATAATCGCTGTCCAATTTTATCCAAGAAAGAATGCAATACATCATAACCTTTAACCTCGACGAATTTATTTATTCCATTACTAGTTATTTTCTCGGCTATATACCATTAACAAATCGCATAAGTCTACCATTGATTAAATGACTCAATTATTCGGCAGTAATGATTTGACAATCATATATTCAGTATGGCAGCAGTCTACCAAATACTTTGAAATAAGCTTGAACCTTTTCTGGTTTCGATGAAAGAACAGCAGAAACAGCTCGGCCACAAGCACTCACCACCGCTCCACAATTTTGTGTCGCTGCCACATCTCGGACCTTTTTCAAGATACTCAACATAGTTCGACGCTTTAAAAGTTTCTTCAGTTTTTTCATGTTTGAATCATTAAACCACACGACCAGGGGATATCGGATGAAATGAAAATTAATAATGCAATGACGCTCTTAACTCCTATTTTATAATCTCCTGATTCCTTGATGAATAACCTCAATCATATATAAATCTAGTGTTTACACTATAAAGTGTAGTGACAGTCTTGACATACACTAAACATATCGTTCTAAAATATCCAGTGATATTAAACTGGATCCTTGCCTTTAATTCCACTTCATATGAAAATTTTGCAAGTACCTTTCTAAGGGAAGCAAATGTCTAAATCCTCTCGTTCTCTTCCCTTATTCTAATTAAAGCCAAATGGAATATCTTTATCAACGGCAAGATAATGATTAAAGTCAAGGGAAGCTCCAAGTAAATCGCGGAAAGATAAAATGCCCTTTAATGTGCCTTTAATGATTGTAATAATATAAGTTGAAAGAATTACCACCAGAAAAGTCTAAAAAAAATCCATGAATTACAATAAACGCATGAAATTCTGGAATCTTTTGTTTCCAAGCAATGAGTTTCAAATAATTTACTACATTAGAAAGCAAGAAACCATTCGATATAAAAGTGGAGAAAAGTCGTATCACAGAATCAGTAATGGTCGGAGAAGACGAAAAGACTGCTGTACATATGAGAATGAGTCTCCGGCTGCTAGAAATACCGCCGTGACCAGTTCTTCTATCTGCAAGAAATAAATAAAACTAGCATTATATAGAAACGAAATTTTACATGCGAACCAAATCTTCGTTCAAGCAAACTAAGATTGTTCAAATGCTTTTAATTTTAAGCTATATTCAGCTGGAAGCTGAAAATCAAAATATGTAAATAATATTCCTCTGAATTATAACGTACGGCATGAGATTCTAAAACTCCTGAATTCCTCAATTCAATTTTCAGAATAACGTAAACAAGTCAATGAAACGCCAAATATCAAGCAAAGAAGAAGTCGATGCATGTAAAAAATATGTAATATGCGTATGTCAACACATATAAACGTAAAAAAAAAAGTGTGAAAAAAAGGTAGAAAAAAAACGCTAATTTACAAAAGTATGAACATGCACATGGATACATTACACATAAGTAAACATAAGCAGGAAACAAACTTCTTCAGAAGGTGCGTCAACCGCGCTGATATGTTGAGCAAACTGATTACTGAAAAATGAAATTTGCCGCCCGAGTAAGCAATGAAATTCAGAAAACGGTTCCTGCTTCACTGTAGTTGCCGTAATTAACATCAGCTGTCCTAATTTATGAATTGACTGCACACTTTGAGCGGTAAAATCAGCCAAACATTCTGCAGATCATAATATGACATTTCGGAGTAAGTCAATATAGAGTGAGCGTAAATCTAAAATTGTCCTTAAGTCGTTAAATATTAATTAAAAAGTAAAGTTTTCAGAGAAACGTCGAGAACAAGACAACGCTATTCTAGTTCGGAAAAGAAACAAAATACCCAAGAAAACTTCGAAAATTTGATCACTGGAATCTGATAGTTTTTCTAAACGTTCTTGACATCGCCTATAGGCATCCATCAAGCCCGAACCCTGGAAAAATGATTGGATACAATGAATCTAAGGTCATTCATGAAAATAATATATGAAAATAAATAACAAACAAGATCACGGATGTAAGTAAAGTAACGAACATGCAGTAAAACACAATTTCAGCACCCTTTGATCTATCACATAGAACAAATGAAAACCAGCCTCACGTTGTAAGGTAGAGCGATGGCTAATAATATTTCTTTGAAATTTTGGAGGAAATTTTCTTGTTCATTATCCTGATATTCTTCCAAAGTATTCGCCAAATCTTCAGCAAAAATTTCATTTACTTTGCTGAAAAGTGAACAATGAAATGTTGAAATTTAAGCTTCAAAATTTCAAAATCAAAGAAAAAACTCAGGTAACTTATTAATCACCTTCTTCTATGTGTTTTCAGCGCTTATTGTGGCGGCGTTTTGGCCAATAAATGCCCCAGCTATCCTTTCAAAAATAAAAGATGGCTTTTCAAAGGTTAGAATATAAGCCAGTGCATTCAAGTTCAAGATTTTAAATTAGAAAAAAATTAGGGAATTTGAGAAAACATAAAAATACCTCTTTCTCTGTGACGGAATTTTTCTTAAATAATTTTTGGAGAGCATTTCGAGGCCTTCCAAATGAAGCATACCACTAAATCTTTCGAAGAAGTCAATAAATGTAAGTTCGCGCTTTGTAATACAATTACTTTCGAATGTCGTCTCTTCTGCTCGACTTTCACGCAACTCTCGTAAAACTTCGGATAAATTTTGACCTCTTTCTGGTTCGAAAATAAATCGCCTTTTCTCGGAACCCTAATTTTCAAACATTCTAAAGTAAGAAATCGAGAATTCATACCTTACATCAAACCCAAAGGAAAAAAATAACAAATTTCATTCTCTTTATATATGCATTACTATTTGCGCATGCCATCGTATGAGCAAGACAGTAACCAAACCTGTTCTGGTATAGTTAATTTTTCAAATGTCTTCTTGCCAAGTGCTTCAAGTACGTCCAGCGAACCCGTTACAACGTTAGCTCCAAAACCTGCGAACAGCTTGCCGTATGATTTTATACTAGAGCTAGCTACTTCTTCCGTTTCCTGCAAAATCCAGCATTTCAAGCATCTGAAATGACAAAACAATTTAATTTTGAATTTTAAGATATAATTATAAAATTGATATACTTTGAATTATAGCAGGACTAAATCCATCAAATATAAAATAAACTCAAGTAAAAAAAAAAATAGCTAACTTTCGCAGCCACTGCAGAATCATTCACACGCCTCTCTACTGGTTGGTTTCTTACTAATTCTTCTGGCGCTGGTAATCCAAGACCTGATTCAACAACGCTGGATATGTTTGTTAAACCTTCCCCTGAAAAGGATATAGCATTTAGTAGGAAGTAAAAATTAAAATTCACAGCATATGAAGAAAAAATGTGACAAATTTCACCAACATGTTGAACATCACCACCGGTATGATACAAGCATTACTAACCAACAGCAGTGACCACATCGCCAAATTCAGTCCAATCCCAAAATGATTTGCTTGTCTTGATTTCTTCTTTTTTCTGCCGAGCCTGAAACATAAAAGAACGGAATTTTTGATGAAGCCAAAGAGTGCATGGAAATCACCAAGATTTCCCTGTTATTAAATTTAAATGCACTTTTTTTCAGAAATTGATTTGAATCATGCACCTCCCGAATAAGATTTCTGCAAATCAGACATTATTTAATCTCTACTTGTGGGAATTTTAACGGTTCGAATAAAGAATAATGAATATTGAAACACCAACCTCCGATTTCGAATTAGCAATAATTCGATCTTCTTCATCCGAAGCCAACATCCGTGGCGGTTCTCGGTTTTCATCTAAAATTCCGCTATCATTCCCATCTCTTCGTGAATATTGCATTTCCCAATCATCCCACCCGTCATGATCAATATCGGTCTTTTCTTCGGACCGTTCTTCGATTTCCTCTGCTACACTAACATTATCTACATTATCAATAACTCTCGATACAAGCCCACATTCAGAAGCTTTATTTTCTTTTCTAGACATTTTATAGCTATTTATTCCAACTTTTCGCTCATCTTCGTCTTCAAATCTATTCATTCCGAATAGCTCCTCATCTTTTCGGAAAATTTTATCAGACTCGCTATAATTTCCCGAACTGGATACCTTCCCAATACCCATCCAATTGTGCTGTGAAGTGGGATATTCAAAGGTCTGGGAATTGAGTATCTTTCGAGAAGCGAGATCACTTATTCCGGATTCTTGAGTTGAAATGATTTTCCTTTCTGGATCAAAATGAGCTTCATCCACTGCTACACAATCATCGTTTTGTCTCGCCGGAATAAATTTGCATGTTGCAGGTTCTTCGGAAGATGATAAATTCTGATACATTTGTTTCTTCCGATTTGAGGATAACACTTCAAGTATTCTAGTATTTGGCATTTCATGGGTTTCTCCGAATTCATGTCTATTATCTTCGGTAGCATCAACCTTCCTTCTTTCATCAAATTTCCCAATCTTTAGGCTACTATCATTGCTGTTTGCGTCTTCCCGGTCCGACAAACTATCAACGGCACTATGAAATGATTCCGTTTCCGAGTCCGTCATTCTAAAATTATACATTGCATTAGATTCGGAAGATACGGACACTATGAGGCGTTCCAGAACGGACATTTAAACATACAGCTAACAATATGTTTAATAAGACCGCTTGAATAACATATATCACTTCAATTTCCAAAAACTTTCATATAATCTTGCAAATCCGACATACACCAAAGAAATATTTTCTCTTTTTTTCGTCCGCGTTCCTCTGCCACTTAATCTAAGCTAACCTTCCACCTTTAATCTTTAGGAAAACTAAACTTCCCCGGAAGAAAAACTAAATCCGCAAATGTATCCATGTTGCGGCCCTTTGACCGTAAAATATTCATCGGTCTAGAGCAGGAAATAAATTTCAATCCAATGGATGTGATAGTACTTAGGATCGCATGATGTAGTTGTTGCACGCATGATTAACATGTTACAGTGCGAGACGCGTGTGTGTCATCATTTATAGATGCCACAAATTCGTGAAGACCACTACCATCTACAAGAGATCATATCTCTAAGGTTATCATCTATACCACACCACGATGATGCAAACACTAGATGCCCTCGCGACTCGCCGTTTTCATTATGACTGC